CGGCGCCCCACGCTCATTTCTGGGCGCACGACTGACCGCACTTCTGGGCGCGGCCCCTGGGCTCCTCTGGCTCCGCTCCCCGGCCGCCTGCGGAGCTCTGTGGTGAGCGGTGGGGTTTGGATTCCTTGGGGGCCGCTGGCTCCTGGAATCACTGGATGATTAGGAAAACGTCTGTGCGGCGAGCCCTTCTCCGGAACGCGGAGTAACGACTGCCCAGCTGGTTGTTTCTGTCGGTGAGCGAGGCCGCCTGGTGTCTCAGGGCGGTGGGCACGAGCCACGAGTCTGAGGCTCTGACACGCATGGCGCATCCACGTGGGCCATGTCTTCTCCCTTCCCCGCCCCCATCCAGGGGCCGATCCAGAGACGGGCCCTGCTCCCATCCCCTGAAAGGGCTTTGGGGGCAGGGATCTGATTAGAAAAGGGAGCAGGGTTCTTGCCTGGAAGCTGATGGGCAAAGCGCTGGATGGAGACTGAGATGACTGTTCACAGCTGAGAATTGGGGGGCGGGGAGGCGGGGAGGGGGGCCGGACAAGGACTCCCCAGGCCCCTTCCGGTGCTGCCCCCCAGTGACCCTACAAAGTCCTCCCAGGGCATCCCAGGCAGAGCCAGGAAACGCCCTCCCCTCCTTGGCATCTTGCCCCGTTGGGGGGCTGTGAGCCCCCTCGCAGGACAGGCACAGTCGCAGGATAAAACAGGGGACACCCAGGGAAATGTCTTTCAGAAAAACAACCAATAGTGTTTCAACAGAATTATGGCCCAAATGCTGCCTGGGACATGCTTCTACTTGAGTTGCATTTCTGTTCTTCAAATTTCTCTGGGCGTCCTGTAGATGGATTTGCTAAATCTGATGACCCTACTGCGCGGGAAGGGAACTCAGCGTCCTGGGGCGACACCCGGGGCCCCCCTCTACCCCCCCAGCCAGCTCGCTGGCGCCGCTCCAAGCCGGGCTCCCGGGAGGGGCTGACCGTTGCCTTGTTGGGTTTCTGTCACTTGCAACCCAAGGGCAGGGCGGCTCCCCAGGCGGTATCACTGAGCCACCTGGCCACGTTTCCATAACAACAGCACAACCAAGGCCATCACACCACCGACTTGTCCCAGCCCTGGGTGCTTCGGGGCAGAGGCACGATCAGGGACAGGATGGGACTGCGGACTCTGGTCTCCAGCCTTCATCACCGCGGGACCTTCCTCCCCCCGTGGGCTCGGGCGGCGGGGGGGGTTGTCACCTGTGCCTCTGGGTCCCTGGGGAGCCCGCCCTCTGATGTGCACGCAGCT